TGACCTTGAACTTCGGATCTTCCTGCCTCTGCCTCTTAAGTGTTGGAGTTACAGGCATTTGCCACCAAGTCTGGCTTAGAAATTTTCATTCATCTTCACAGATCCATATTATTCCATAATGTAGGATGTACCACGGTGTATCTAACTGTCCCTACTTTAAAATTTTTTGCAGTGGTGGGATCATATGTGCAGGGCCTTGGAAAGTATAGGCATGTGCCAACAGTCTAGCTTGTGTGTGTGTGTGTGTAGGTGTATGTACATGTGTGTTCATGTGAGTGCACATGCACTCAACTAGTATGTAATGTCTCTACCCTGTCTCTACCTCCTTCTCCCCCCGCCCCCCAAATCAATCTTTGATTTTGTTTTTTGTCATTGTTTTGAGACAGGGTCTCTCTCAGTAGTCCTGAAGCTCCATACATAGACCAGACTGGCCTTGAACTCTGCCTCCCGAGTGCTGGCAATAAAGGCGCGTTTGTACCATATTCAACTAATTTTTGGTGTTTTGTTTTGTTAAGCCAGGTTCTTACTATATAGTCCAGGCTGGCCTGGAACTTGATATGTAACTCAGGCTGGCCTTGAACTTATGATACTTCTTTGTCTTTCTCCCAAGTGGTGAGATTACAGGCATAGGACATGAAACTGGGTTCTAGATCCACTTGCTTATTACTTAAGACCATGTCTCATATAACCTAGGCTGGCCTCCAACTGGAAATGTTTTTAGACAATGCTGGCCTGGAAGCTCTGATCCTCCTTCATCTACTTAGAAGGTAGGATCAGAAGTTCAAGGTCTAAGTGATAGAAAGATCCTATCTCAGTGTTAGGATTACAGCTACATGTTGCCATGCTCAGCTTGCTAACTTTTATCATCACTTTACTATTTGTTTGTTTATTTATGTGTGGATATTCATGGCATGGTGCACATGTGGAAATCAGAGGACAATTTGAGGGAGTCTGTTCTCACCTCCCACAATGTAGGTCTAGGGGACTGAACTCCTATCATCATGCTGGGCAGCAAGTGCCTTCTTCACCCACTGAGCCATGTTACTGGCCTTTGAGTAGCCCTTCAAAGTTACTTGTATGAAGCTGAGTGTGGTAGTACATGTGTTCCTACCACTCAAGAGACAGTGTGCCACTCTTTAGTGTGGACTGAATTTGTAGCCTGCTTGCTCCAGCCTCATGAGTGGTAGGTTATATGCCTTATTATTTGACCTATACAGTTCATCTTTAAAACAGTTTGCTATTTAGAGGCAACTTCAGACTTTCCAAAGGTTGGAAAGAGGGACAAGGGAGAAGCCTCGGTTAGTAAAGTTCCTGCTGTGCAAGCCTGAGGAGTGGAGTTCAGATTCCTTCCACCATGGAAAAGCTGGTGGCGGTACCTGCTGCCCGCACAGTAGAAACAGCACCTGAGTGGGGAGTGACGATTAAGAAAAGACGGATAGAAAGAAACAGAACATAAAAGAAAAGATAGAGGCATGGGATAGCTTCGGGAGGACTGTCAGTGAATACTGCAGCCCCCTGGGTCTATTTCTCAGCCTGCTTATATACAACTTGAAGGCAGAGGAAGTAATAAAGAAGTACAAGGCCAGACTTGACTACATGAAATTTTAAAAGAAAAGAAAGAAAGGAAGAAAAAAATTCAAAGACAACGAAGAACCTCTGTATATCAGTCATTTACATTTCCTAAATATTTACATTTCTAATTACTTATTTTGTATTCCCTGAAACATTCAAACATATGTTTCAGACATGATTCTTCATGACAAGAACATTGGCTGCAGAACAGTTTACAATGAGTTTGTAACAGAGCTGGGATTATAGGTATGTACACGTGGCTAGTACTTTCCTGTTGCTGTGAGAAACACCATGGCCAAAAACAACATGGGGCAGAAACGCTTTATATTTGCTTTACAGGCTACAGTCCATCACTGAGGGAAGCTGTGGTGGTTTGAATAGTAATGGCTTTCATAGACTCATGTGTTAGAATGTTTGGTCAACGGGGAGTCGCACTATTAGGAGGTGTGGCCTTGTTGGAGTAGGTGTGGCCTTGTTGGAGGAAGTGTGAGCTTTGAGTTTTCAAATGCTCAAGCCAGGCCCCATGTCTCTCTCTCCTTGCTTCCTGCCATTCAGATGTAGAGCTCTCAGCTACCTCTCCAGCACCATGCTCCCAGCCATGACAATAATGGACTAAACTTCTGAACTGTAAACCATCCCTAATTTTCCTTTATAAGGGTTGCTGTGGTCATGGTGTCATCTTCTCACAGCAATAGGACCCTAAGACAGAAGCCAAGACAGGATCTCAGGGAACCTGGAGGCAGGAACTGAAGCAGAGGTCATGGAGAAATGACTCTTCCTGGCTTGCTTTCCTTGGCTTATTCAGCCTGCTTTCCCTTTCTTTTTTTTTTTTTAATTTATTTATTTATGTATTCTATGTATATGAGTACTCCATTTGCACATATGCCTGCACACCAGAAGAGGGCACCAGATCTCATTACAGATGGTTGTGAGCCATCATGTGGTTGCGGGGAACTGAACTCAGGACCTCTGTGAGAGCAGCCAGTGCTCTTAACCGCTGAGCCATCTCTCCAACCCCCTCCGCCTGCTTTCTTATAGAACCCAGGACTGCCTGCCCAGAAGTGGCTCCAGCCACAGTGGGTGGCACTCTCCCGCATCCATCAAGAAAATGCTCCAAAGACTTGGGCACAGGCCGGTCTGAGGGAGACAATTCCTCATGTGAGGTTTGCTCTTCTCAGCTGACTCCAGCTGGTGTAAAGGTGACAAAAACTAACCAGCAAACAGATCTGAGGGTTGTCAATTCTCTACTATTGTCCTTTGAGCCTTTAAGCTTGATAATGCCCATCGCGATACCAGCAGCTCTCGGGCATGTTTGTGTGTGAGCACCACGTGGAGATCTTTCTTAATTCCTTAAAGGGCCTGGAGAGACAATTCATCGGTAAGATCATTTGCTGTTCGCTCTTCCAGAGGACCCGAGTTCAATTATCAGTACCCACAGGACAGCTCACCATTATTTGTACTCTAGTTCTGGGGATCAGACCTCTCTTCTGACCTCCTTAGATGCCAGGCACATGTGGTGCACACACATACATACACATGTGGTGCACATGTATACATATGCACAGGCAGAACACTCACACACAGAAGTCTATTTTTTAACTAATAAGACTGATATATATATATATCATATCTGATATATATGTATCATATCTGATACACACACACACACACACACACACACATGAGACAAGGTTTCTCTGTGGTCCTGGATGTCCTGGAACTCTCTCTGTAGACCAGGCCGGCCTCAGACTCAGAGATCTGCCTGCCTCTGCTTGCTGGGTGCTGGGATTAAAGGCATGCACCACATCATCCAGCCACAACTAGTGTTTTTAATGTGGGTTCTGGGGTTCAAACTCAGCAAGGCATGCACTTCACTGCCTGGGCCATCTCCCCACCCCACCCCCTCCTTTTTTTTTTTTTGTATTGTGTTTTGTTTTGAGACGAGGTCTCATACCGCCCAGCTGACCTTGAACTTACTAGGTAGTCTGGACAATCCTTCAACTCCCTTTGGAAATAAGATAATAACAAACTCAAGAGACTAGTGAAACCTGAGTGGTTTTAAATAGACGGTTCTGCCGGGCGGGTGGTGGCGCATGCCTTTATCCCAACACTCGGAAGGCAGAGGCAGGAGGATGTCTGTGAGTTCGAGGCCAGTCTGGTCTACAGAGTGAGTTCCAGGACAGGCTCCAAAGCTACACAGAGAAACCCTGTCTCGAAATAAATAAACAAACAAATATATATATATATATATACAGTTCTGCAGAAAGGGACTCCAAGGTGCTGATTTGGCACAAGACAGTGGTTTTTTTTTTTTTTTGTTTTTTTTTTTTTTTTGGTTTTTCGAGGCAGGGTTTCTCTGTGTAGCTTTGCGCCTTTTCCTGGAACTCACTTGGTAGCCCAGGCTGGCCTCGAACTCACAGAGATCCGCCTGGCTCTGCCTCCCGAGTGCTGGGATTAAAGGCGTGCGCCACCACCGCCCGGCAAGACAGCGGTTTTTAAGAACCTGTCAAGAGACATTCCTATTCTCTCTCCTATAGGCATATAAGACTTGCATCTCCCTAATTCCCCCAACTCATTGGCCTCGGACAAAATCCTCATCCAATAAAAAATTTGGGACTTGAAACTGGCCCCTTCTGACTGTCGGCTTCCGGCTAAGTGACCGATCATACCACTTGTAACTTTCTGAAACAAAGAGGGGCTAGCGGCTAGCGGCGCTTAGCGCTGCCTAAGCTTGTCTGTTACTCACCTCACACTGAGAATGGACCGTAACAATCTATTTCTTACACTCCTTATCCTTCTCCGACATCCCCCAAGTGCTGGGTCTACAAGTGTGCAACCACCACGCCCTCCCAGGGAATTTTTCTTTACCATTTGAGATTATAAAGTGGTTTAATAGGTGCATAACACGGTTTTATAGACTAAGGTTGCTGTCCGCAGGTACCAAGGAATCAAGGTGTGTTTTTACTGTTAGGTGGGTCATTATATTGTTTATAAGATTGTTGCAACTCTCAGTCTTTCTCTTCCCGTGTCCTCTTCATCTTCTCCTGAGGGGAGCTGCTGGGCTCTTCCAGAGAAATCTTCTGTCACCCAGAGTGCAAGGAGACCCCAAACTCGACACAGGAAAGGAAGGACTTCATCCATTGTTGTCACTGGTCGTTTCCTGGTATGCCCTGCATGGATGAAGACAAACCAACCCTCGTGTAAGAAGCTGATTCTGGAACAGGGTGGAAATTGAGGACAGGTGGTCCCAGAAAGGGACTGAGCTTGTGGGAGCGGGGCAAGGGGAACCAGGCAGCGCTGGGAATGGGGACTGGGATTTCCTGCCGGGCCACGCCTCCCTGGCTACTGGTCATTCTCTTCACCCAGACACTGGTGGATGCTTGCCCGCTCTTCCGCTACGCAATGCCAAGGGTAGGCCCCGCCCCGTGCCGGTTTAGCTGCTGCGCGCGCCGCTGAGTTCCAAGCATGGAGGCAGGCGGGTTGGGTCGCTCCGTGTGCGTGCTGACCGGGGCCTCCCGGGGCTTCGGCCGCGCCCTGGCCCCGCTGCTGGCCCGGCTGCTGTCGCCCGGTTCGGTGCTGCTCCTGAGCGCACGCAGTGACTCGGCTCTGCGGCAGCTAGAGGAGGAGGTGGGCGCACAGCAACCCGGCCTGCGAGTGGTGCGAGCAGCCGCCGACCTGGGCACCGAGGCCGGCTTGCAGCAGCTGTTGTACGCGGTGCGCGAGCTCCCCAGGCCCGAGGGTTTGCAGCGCCTGCTGCTCATCAACAACGCAGGTGAGACCCCCGGATCAGACCGGGGCTGCGGGCTTTCACCGTTTGGAGAGTCCCTAAAAGTCCAGAGTCCAAGCGGAGACAGGATGTACCAGTGTCCCGGCAGGGTTAGCCCAGCCTGGTTGTCTAAAGCTCCCTAGAACTTTCTCGACCGCCTCGAGCAGTGCCTCCTGGCGGGAGCATGAGTCAAGACATCGGTCTCTGAACAAATCCCCCTGCTTTTCCAAAGAGCGCTCAAACAGGTGTATTCTTAGTGTGCATTAGGGGTGTCTGCAGAGCTGGGGTAGATGGGTAAAATGGATATGAGAAGGAACTGTGCAAGGCTGAAGAGGACAGAGCCCACGCTGCTGTGTCATTTCTTCGGTCCTGTTTTTTCAGGCACTCTTGGGGATATTTCCAAAGGCTTCCTGAACGTAAATGACCCAGCTGAGATCAACAGTTACTGGACTCTGAACCTGACCTCCATGCTCTGCTTGACCTCGGGCACCCTCAGTGCCTTCCCAGATAGCCCTGGCCTCAGCAAGACTGTGGTTAACATCTCATCTCTGTGTGCCCTGCAACCCTTCAAGGGCTGGGCGCTGTACTGCGCCGGGAAGGCTGCTCGAGACATGTTGTACCAGGTCCTAGCTGCTGAGGAACCCAGCGTGAGGGTACTAAGCTATGCTCCAGGTAGGTGGGTGATACTGCCGTTGCTGCCTCCTGACCTGGCTGGTACCTTTCTGGGGGCTGGGCAAGGTGGGGAGCCTGGTCTATATTCTCAGGAAAGAATCTAAAGAATATATTGCCCTCCAATCATGACTTATCTTGCAAGGAAAATAAAGATTCTAAGAAGTTAGAGTAGACAGGGGCGGAGGTACTCGGCATTAGGAGTTGCCTGCCTAGCAGGTGGGACAAAACACCCACACACATAAAAATAAATTAAACTTAAAAATAAAAAAACAAAAGACTACATTACCTTTATATGTTTAACTGTCTGCTTTTCTCCCTCAACGGCCACATACTATTCATCCATGTATCCCCAACACCTAGCAAAGCTTCACAGAGGCCGGCCACATAAATGATCAAAGACAAGCAGGCAGACATTGTTGAGTGGTGAGCATCCCAGGCTGAGCTATGCTGAAACACTGAATGGGGTGGGAAAAGGGTACCAGGATGAATAAGATGGGCCCTTGTTCTCATGAAAATTACAGGGTATGTGGTCTTCTGATGCCTTGTCTTGTCTGACCAGCCTATTAAGATGACATAGTACTGGGGCCATTCTTCTAGGCTGTGATTTCTGTAGTTAGAAAGTAGCAATATGTGGTGGGATGTGTGAGCAACTCAACAGTGAGATCCAGTTGTCTGTACCCCTTTGGACTAGGTCAGGATCCTGGAGGCACGGAGGCAAGATAGTCTGTCTAATGCTCAAGTGAGGCAGGACCAGGATCCAAACTTGCTTCCAACTTCTTGATCTATGCTGGGTCTCCTCATATTACCTAGTACCTGCTCTTAACACACACACACGATATTGCTTGTTCCAGCTCACCTGCTCTGAGCTCAGCCTAGACTCATTCAGACAGCAGTGATCACATGTAAACCACAGCTGGTGAGGGGGAGTTGATTCTAGATGCACCCAGAGCCAAGTTAGCTCTCTGGAGGCTGCCCCGGGTATCTTGGAGGAACTGAGAGGTTTAGGAATCCCCCAGAGGCTGAAAACAAGCAGGAGCCACTCCAGTTCTTATTTCAGTCTCCAGAATGTTCTAACAGGTTTCCAAAGACAGAAAAGTCTGTTTGGAAAGAGAGCAGGCTTTCCCCAGAGGTGCTCAAGGAGATAAAACTGGGCGTGGTAGAGCACTTGAGAAGTGATAGCAGGGGTTCAAAGTCAACCCTGGCTATACAGCAAGTTAGAGGCCAGCGTGGGCTACACAAGGCTACACAAGTCTCAAAACGAGGGGCGTGGGAGGAAGCGGCTAGAGGATATTACAATGAAGCAAAATGATTCTTCTTAGCCATGGCTTGACCTTCGGAAAAGTCCTTGACTTTTCCAAGTAGTAACTTTTGTGATAGTAGCTGAATTCCATTACATTTTCCTGCGGCTTGCAGCAGGTTCCATGATTTTTCTGTCCCTGAACACCATTAAAATTTGGTAGGCTACACAATTCCTTGAGGGCTGTTTGTTAGCAGGTGGGAGACATTTTCCAGACATGCAAGCATAGGTGAGAAAGCTTGTTAGAGAGAGACCGGTCTTGGGGCGGGGGGGGGGGGGGGGGGGGGGGAGGACAGACAGACAGACAGACAGAGACAGAAAGAGGGAGGGAGGGAGTTTATGTGTTTATGAGTGTTTTGCCTGAAGTTTATCTGTTCACCACATGCAGTGCCTGCAGAGGCCAGAAGAGGACATCATAGCCCCTGTAACTGAAGTCACAAATGGTTGTGAGCTGCTATGTTCGTACTGGGAATCAAACCCTGGTTGTCTACAAGAACAGCAAGGGCTCTTAACAGGGGACCATCTCTCTCTCTCTAATCCCCACACTTGGCTTTTTACTGGGGATCTGAACTCAGGTTGTCATGCTTGTCCAGCAAATACTTTACCAACTGAGCTCCCCGCATCCAGGGATTTCAAGGAGCCATGTGAGCCCAGGAAAGTGCAGCCAGATGAATTTATCAGAGAGGACTAGAGCACATGTTGAAATAAGGAGAGAAGCAAGGTTATAGCGTGGACCTGCTTGAGACCATGGTGAAGGTCTCACCTGATCCCTGGTTGGCTGCAGGTGGAATGAGGACCCTGCAGGGTCCAGGTATCTATTGATACAAGTGGAAAAGTCAGGAAGAGATGTTACGTGGACAAGAGCTGATGAGCTTGATTTTAAACCATGCTTAATAGACTTGAGCTTTGAGTTCAAAACTCAGTAGTAGCATGAGCTGGGCATGGTGGCCCTCACCTGTAATCCTGGTACTGGAGAGGCTAAGGCAGGAGGATCTTGAATTTCAAGAGAGAAATCCATAGAGAGAAGATAACTGAAAAAAGAAAAAAAAAATTTAAAGGCAATGTAATGGAGCCTCGGGCCAGACCCGCCTCAGCTCCACCCGCCACACAGCGGGGACTTAGAACCTCTGTCCCTGTCTTGTACTTTCCATCCACTAGGTCCCCTGGACACAGACATGCAGCAGTTGGCTCGAGAAACCTCCAAGGACCCAGAGTTAAGGAACAGACTGCAGAAGCTGAAGTCGCAGGGGGAGCTGGTGGATTGTGGGACATCGGCCCAGAAACTGCTGAGCTTGCTGCAAAAGGACACCTTCCGGTCTGGAGCCCACGTGGACTTCTATGACAGTTAAGCCCATGTCCTGCCACAGTGCCCCCCCCCCAACCCTGCCTAACGCAAATAAAAGTCCTCAGACACGGCCAGCAGGGAGTGGCTGGCATTACCGGTCATCAGAAGGCTTCTGCGGGGCTTGAGAGAGAGTTGATGAATATTGGAGTTCTCTGTCCTCAGGAAGAGAATTTAGAGCTGGGAAGAGGAGGAGAAGCTGAAACACTGGAGAGAAGAGGAGGTTGAGTGTCTTGTCTGTGGGGGGAGGAGGGTGCACCTGATGCTGAAAGAGGACCAGGGCGTCACATTGATGCTCCTTGGACTTCCTATCTTGGTTCTACTGCCGTCTTCCTCTGGGAGCCACCGTTTCTCCCTTGACTCTAGTCCAAATACGTAGTTAGTTCTAAGTCAGATGCAATAGTGCGCGTTGCCCTTCGGGAGTGCCTCGTGACCTCTTCGACGGGGTGCAGGAGGGACAGCCCAGCTCATTCGCTAGGGTGTCCTGAGAACGTTTCTGCTCGTGCTTCCCAAAGTGTTGCCGGAGAGCTGTCTGCCTCCTTCCGTCCGGGCCCACACAGTGCTAAGTGTAGGTCCAAAGGCATCAAGATGGATGTACCCGGACACCTGTGCCTTTGTCATGCTTCTGTCCACACTGACCTATGGGTGAAACTATTAAGGCCACCCCACGTAGTTAAAAGGGAGGTTTATTTTGTGGGGTAACTTACAAGTGAAGGGATAGGTTGCAGGGTCTGGGAAAGGTGTGGCACAGTCCAGCAGTGTTCTATGGAGAACTCTGTTCGATCTAGCTCCAGCGTCCAGGGTCCAGGAACCAAGAGAGCCCTCGCATCCGGATCTCGGGTCTTCAGGGTCCTCTCTCAGCCCCGCCTTGTAGGCGTGACCATTACTGAAGCCTCAGTGGGGTTTGGAACTTCCAGGTCAAAGCTGGAATGGCTACCCACTATACTGACCCACCTTTAAAGCCATTTTCTTGAGGGTTCTAGAGCTAGTCGATGAGTATGCATCCTCAGGGCCCAACACACAGCCGCCAGTCCTCACCAGTGAGTGCTTAGATTTCCAGATCTACCCCTTGCCAACCCGGCAGTGCTGTGAATAGGCCCCAGCTCCTGTGGTGACCCCTCTTGACACTGTCCCTGTGGCCCATGGTCTGCTGTGGCACTGGCTCAGGACTAACATGCCTTTGGGGAAGATGAGCAAGGATCCATGAAAGAAGTGCTGAGAGAGTCAAACCTTGTGCAGCCCACAGTCATGGGCTGGAAGCTCCGAAGTGGGACTGGTCTGCAGCCAGCCTCTAGCCCTCCTTTGACAAGAAGCAGACAGTTCCCAGCCATCAAAAAACAAAAAACAAAAAACAAAACAAAACAAAAAAAAAAAACGACCCAGCCCCGCATCTGCTTGTGTTAAGAGAACCCTCTGGTCCCACTTGTGCCCAGCAGAGGGTGCACTGGGGCTGTACATCCTGGAAAGGCCCTGCCCTTCCTGTAGGGTATGCCACAACTGTCAGGGTCCCACAGGATTCCCCAGGGTGGAGGGAGTAACTTCTGTCACCTTTCCCAGTGGAGTCTTTATCCTCTCTGGAATGGAAATGGCTGGGTTCAGACCTCTGCTCTTAGCTGGTCACCTACAGCAAGTAGCTCTTGTGCCTCTGAAAAGGCTGCATATTACCATACACTGAATATACATAAAGCATTGCACTCATCCCAAAGGGTCATTGTGAATGGCCTAGTGTTTCCAAATGTCTGGCACTAAATGCCCCACGGTTGAAAAAGCCCAATTGCCTCTTATTTTCCGCAGACCAGAAGTTCAGGGAGAAATACCACATGTCTCCACAAGGTGGCAAGACTTTCTCATGTCTTCTGAGTACGGAGGCTTCAGGGCGATCTAAGTGGTCTGTCCTCTAGATTCACAGGGACTCAAAGAATTGAGGGAGGTCAGAAAGAGTTAGAGTCACTCTCCTTGGCAGGCCCCAAGGCCACACTAGTGACCCACAACCTTCTCTGCCCACAGGGATTTCTCCCCAGCATCAATTCCAGCCCTGGCCTCAGTGTCCAGAACATTCGGCACTGGGACTTTTTATGCTGGCCTTTAGGGCCTACCCATCTGTCTCCTAGAGTTCGTAACCTGGCCTTAGCCAACCCACACAAGAGCACATACAAGCACATACATAAATACATGCCTGCACATGCGCAAAGTCCAGCTGTGGGGGTGAGCAGGGTTGCGGATTAGCCAAAAGGCAAACAGATTTCTCTTTGTCTTTGCTGTCGTTGAGCTGGGTAGTTTTTTTTGTTTCTGTTTAGCAGTCTGAGCTAGGGGCCAGCAGCTGCCTCCTGAGGAACTAGGGAGGCAGATAGTCCAGGCTTACCCCCACAGAGCTGTGGTATCTCTCCCCATGAGTGGAACCGGCTGGGGTCACAGAGGTCAGGAACCTCCCCCATGAATGTGCCCACATGCGGCACACCAAAGCTGGAGTGGGTCCGTTGTCAGCTACACCTGGAGGCGTCAGCTGCTCCTCAACCCCTGACTTTGGATCACTTTCCTAGAACATGCCTCATTCCCTGTGTCCCATGTCTCACCTCAAGGAGTGGCACCTTGAGTCACTGCCTTCTGGCTTCTACCCACATCCTTCCCCGAAGAACATGGTCTTACATGCTAATGTGTGCAGCAATTCTGACTCATGTGGCATGTGTGCACACCCCTGCGTGAACATGCCAGGAGGGGCCAGCTGTGCCCTTCACCCAGGATGAGGGAAGGAAGCAATGGCCTTTCCAGTCACTGAAGAAGAGGCACCACAGGGTGACATCTCTCCAACACAGACTATATCTCAAAGACCTAGTGTGTAAGGAAAATGGTCCTGAGACTAGAATCCCCGAGACAGCATGTTGGAAAATCAGCAGGAGAACCCCTCCATCCTTTGGGGCCAGCTGGAGGGAGGAGTTCAATGAGGGAGATGTTGAAGGGAGGAGAAGAAGCCATCCTTGCCCTGTTTACCTGTCTTCTCTCTGGAGTTCAGAGGCAGGGACAGGCGCTGGGCATCTCTGAGACATAGTAGAGCCCCCCCCAGGAGGCCTGGGTCACCTTCCAGAAATTCTCATTTGCCCCATAGGAAACAGAACCTTTGGACCTAATAGCCCTAGCTGGAGTTAGGAGGCTGGGCTTAATTTTCAGTGACGAGGTGGAAAGAGAAATGTCTTTCTTGCTTTGAGGCAACCCATATCATAGAACCTCCCCAGAGACTCTGTGACACCTCAGCTGAGAAACCTGAAAGCAGTTCAAAGTCCCTTAGGACCCAGGCCTGCTTCCCCTAAAGCAAAGGAAAAGAGGGGCCTGGCTCCCACGTCCTCCCAGACTGGGGGCATGCTCTCGAGAGCTTCAGAAGTCTCTGGCCCACACTCTGGCTGCTAAGGCCTATCCAGCTCAGGCTGTACCGGCAGCTAGGATTGGCGTTTTCAAAACTCAACTTGAAGAAGCTATATCCTATGACCTTTATCTAGTCCCAGCCCACCACAGCCATTTGCTGGGGTTTGCTGAAAGGTAGGTGAGTGAATGGTTACCGGAGTGAACAAGCATATGGATGCTGGTGGGCCAGGAGATGGCTGGATGTGAAGCCTGCTGCCTATGCAGACTGGCTTCAAGGAGGTGGTCCCCTCCCAACAGCCCTCTATGAAACATTTCTACAAGGACACCTTCATGCCTTCATCACAAAGCAGATAGGACTGCGGTGTGTCAGAATCCCCTAGGAAATAGGTAAAAATATCACCTTCCCATTGTTCCTCTAACACCGTGGGTCTCCGTGTGTCTGTCCCTACTTGATCTAGGGTATTCAGACGTGAGCTATAATACTTTGGTATCCAGGTGCCATGTCAGTAACTAAGGAGGCAGCCCCTCAGAGAAGGAAAAGTTCAAAAGACAGTCCATCAGGGTCAGGATGGAGGCCAGTCTAAGGCCAGGATGATCAGTATGTAGCTAAGGTCAGGGTTACAGGGATGCCAGATTAGGTTGGCATGGTTAGGCTCAGTATAGTGGGGGTTGGGAATATGAATACAGAGACTAAGAACTTTGGGAGGAGGGACCAGCTTTTAAAAGGCTCGTCTACCTATGAGTGCATGGTAACGGAGAGAGCTGGCTCATTTTGGAGGACAGGCTGGAAGGACAGGGACCATGGCTGGAGGGCTGCTTTCCCCGCCCTAGGACAGATATCCCAACCACTGCACACCCACCCAACAGGAGCCTTGTGTAAATGACAGGACAGAAGCATTATTTTCTAGAGGAAAACTGACTGTTTCTTATGTGTGTGCATGTGTTGTGTGTGTGGTATATTCTAGTGGCATGCGTGTGCGCATGCACGCACAAACACACACACACACACACACACACACACACACACACACACACACACACAGGCCAGAGGTCAAAGTCAGACATCTTTTCACTTATTTTTTTGAGGTGTGTGTGTGGTCTCTCACTGACCCTAAAACTCACCAACTCAGCTAGACTGGGAGACTGGCTGGCCAGAGAATTCCAGGGGTCCTCCTGTCTCTACCTCCCAGCACTGGAATTACCGACTTGTACCGCTCCGCCCCAGCCTTTTACACTGCAGGAGATCTGAACTCAAGTTGTAATGATGAGCAGCATTTTCCCACTGAGCCATCTCCTCAGCCCCCGAGACTTGCTTGAGACCTAAAAGGGATGAGGGGCAAAGTTTTTTTTTGCTCTCTGGAGAATTCAGATACAGAAACCAAGCCAGACCCAGTGAGAATCAAAGGCTGGGACAGGTGAGCAAAACCATGGTGGAGAAAGCTAGAAACCGGAAACCCAGAGAGGAAGGCATAAGATCTGGAGATACAGTAAGACAGATTTTGATGATGGGAGAAGCCACACACTCGTACTCTCTCACATGTACACACACACACACACACACACACACACACACACACACACACACATGCAGCCGTCCTGAGCCTTGCTGGAAATAATCCCTTTTCATTTGCGACGCTGGGGCCTCAGCTGCACAGGCGGTGCCGAGCTGCTACCTTGCACATCTGTCAGTTCCAAATGTGGAAGCTGTCAGAGGAGTGTG